CCTGCCTAGCACTTTGAGGAGGGACCATGAGAACAGAAACTACCTTGTGGCAAGCAGCTGTTGTGGTTTTCTCTTCTCACATGTTGACTGTTTATTTCCCTGGCCTTCTAGAGGGCTAAATCCTTTTGACTCCTTGCTATCTGATTCTTAGTGGAAGTAAAACCCATGAGGATGCTTTTGCCTGGAAAGCTAGCCAAGACAGTTACCACCATTTGCTGCTCTAGGCTGGTTGTCTGTTGAAATAACCAACTTTTAGGTGTCCCCTTTCCCTGAGGCTTTCCATTTAACATGGGATCCTTCCCCCAAGAAGGCTTCTTATTGTTTTAGAGGAAGAAGGCACTGCCTTTGGGACATAGGGATGTCATGGAACCTCAGGAATGAGGACCCCTAGTTAAAATTAAATACCAGGAGTGTGGGGGAAGAATACAGTTTGAGCAGGATGTGACCTACTCACATGGACTCTTTTTCAAGTTTGATATAAGCATGGGCTTACATCCCCACGGTACATACTTTAATGTATTGTGGGATAACACAGCACTAGTAGGCAGGTAAAGTCACAGATGTGGTGTTTGTTGTTTTATTCTTTACTATAATACTTCCCTCACTTGACCTGGAGGTGCTTCCTGACTTTTGACAAGAACAGAGAAGAAATGGAGCCCGGCTTAAGTAAACTCAGCTCAGAGATCTAAGGACCAGCATACTGGTGGCTATTTTCTGCATAGGCAATTGGAATTGCTTTTCTCAGCATCCAAACTGTGATAGGTTGCTATTGCAGGAGGCAGCTTCAGTCGAATACCATAGAGTGATGTTTCTTCTGCAGGGTCTATGACATCTAATGTGAAAAGAGACATGGCATGTGAGATGAGACTTGGTGTGTGAGGCATAGGGTCACTGAAGACCCATCAGACTCAAGAGGGGAGAGGCTGAACTGGATCCCTCCTCTCTTCCCAGAACACTTCTGATAGAGCCCTTCAGTCACTCAGGGACAACCCTCCAGGGTTGGAGAAAAACATAACCTTGGAACAGAGGCTACAGTTGTAGCCTTTTTTTCCTGTTCTCAAGTCCTATTCTACTGCAGAACATGGCACCCTGCCCAATTGGCCAAGTGTTAAGTGATATGCTTATTCTTGAAAGCAGTTTGGGTGTCTTTTTAAAATGTAGAGAAAACCAAGTAAAGTTAAGGGAAACAATATATAGAATATCAGAAAAACTGTTTACTCACTCACTGACAAAAGTTTTAGTTTTATTCCTCTTAGCAAAAGAAGAAAAAAAAAAAAAATTCCCAGCCCTCAAAAGGTCTAGGCCCCATTCCCCTGTTGTCAGTGATTTGTTTGTCTTTCTGATAGGTTGAAAATTGTGTAATAAACTTGATAACAATGTCAAAAAGGGGGCAAATATGAAGAAATATAGTATGGACATGTAGGAAAAACCATTATTATATATAGTTAATACTCACTAATTTTTATTAGCAATCAACAGGCTTGCCCAGCTGTAAAGCCTACCAACAGTAACTGTGACAAGCCAAGTAAGATGTCAATGGTACAATAGTAGCACTTATATCTTGGAGGGTAACCAATAACTATCTAATTGGACTTAAAGCTTGCTTAATAGGACAGAATTTATGCTTGGACCATAGCCCTTACCTGGATGGTGAGGTAATGTTAGAGGAGAAGCTACTACCACCATTTACAAACCAATACAATTTTAACTGCATTCTGAATATTACTTTATACCTACAGATAAGTGTATCTCTCACCTCTAAACAAAAGAAGCATTTTTCCAACAGATGGAGACTATTTTAAAAAGTCACTGTTGGTTAAAATACAGAGAACAATAGACCATGGGGCTCCCAAACTCAACTGATATATGTATAACACAATCCCTATACCCTTTGTAGGGGCATTACAGAAGGGAAAAGTAGATTGTAAGGACCAGAGGACCAAGATGTCTGCTGTGAGACAGTCTTCTACATGTGACAGGGAAGATGCGGTCATGAAGTTTCAAGAATGTAGTTGCAAAACAACACTTGGATAATGATAACACCAAAGTGGATGGAGGGAAATGTTACAAGATCACACCTCTAGATAAAGTGCTATAGGCATATAGGCATTCAATAACTACTGAGACAGGGAGAATCATTTTTTTCTCCAGGACTGAGCCCCTGATAAGTTTCCAATCCCTGAACACATGTACAAACTACTCTAAATGGACTCATTGTGTGTGCGTAATAATTAAAAGAGAAGAGGTCAATTACTTGAGAAGTTGTGGATAGAGGAGTTATGGGGGAAAAGGAAGGATAGAAATTGTGTAAATACAATATTCATGTATGGAAATCTCAAAAAATAAGAAATTAAATTTTAAAAATACATAGAATTTTTAACCAAAGCTGTATTCCAATTGAAATACCAAAATGTAGGAAACAAATTAGAGAGAAAAAAGTCCTTTCATAAATTGATTAAAGAAAAAAACCATTTTCTATTTTTCTCTTCTACTTGATTCTAAACAAATAGCATGAAAGTAGGAAAAATTTGAAAGCTGGACACAATGAACTGAATTTTCTTTCTTTTTTTTTCTTTTTTCTTTTTGTTTTGTTAGCTAATTGAATTTGAATGTTCTGGTTGAACATACCTACCTCCTATTAAAACTTGAGGGAATGGACAAGTTTGGAGGTTTTCTTTATGCAGGCTAAGGTCTTAGGCTGAAATGTGAAGTTTGGTAAGGAGAGAGCCAAGGACTGAGGTTTGATGGATTTAGTCCATCACTGCTCATCACTGGGCTCAAGATTTGGTCCATCACTGGAAGAGGCTATGCCTCACTGGGCTAAAGGGTGTTAAAAGTGTTATCTCTTTGGAAAGGCTTTTTATGTTATATGTGTTTGATCCTGGCAGTGTTGGTCTATGGAGAATATGGAACATGAGAAAAGGATTCTGGAAGTTAGATTCAGGAACTTTAAAACAAAATAGAAGTTTTTTATCCACACAAAAAAAAGGTTTATTTTACACTCAAATGACACATCTGTTTGTTTGGGTTCTTTTCTCACCCAGCCCTTCTGAGGACCCAGGTTGGTAGAGTAGCCTCCTCAGGACTTTTCCTACTTGGTAACCTAGGGACCCAGAGAAATACAAGCTCAAGCTGACAATTCTTCTACCTGGAACAGAAACATATCACTGATTTTTGGCTCCTATAATCTCACAGGGAGTGGCACTATTAGGAGGTGTGGCTTTGCTGGAGTGGGAGTAGCCTTGTTGGAGGAAGCATGTCACTGTGTGGGTGGGCTTTGAGGTTTATTATACTCAGGATACCACCCAGTGAGTCAGTTGATTTCCTGTAAGTGCAAGATGTAGCCGTCTCAGCCCCGGCACTGTGTCTGCCTGTATGCCGCCATGCTGTCGTGATGACAGTGAACTAAACCTCTGAATCTATAAGCATGCCATCCTAATTAAATGTTTTCTTTATGAGAGTTACTGTGGTCATGGTGCCTCTTCATAGCAATGAAAAGCCTAACTAAGACACTGGCCAAAGCCTAGACACACTTGCCTGTAAGGCAGCAGAGAAGCACTCCTATGGGCATTTTGCAGATTGGTCAAGCAAAACCCCATCTTAAACTACAACATCTCCCCTAAAGGATTTGCTAGCTACTAACTTCTGGGAGGCAAATACAGTGACTCTTTCCCCTGTGCCTTTCCCTAAGCATCAACTGGTAGCACAAGTGTGGTAAATGTCAGGAATCGGGCGCTGTGGAGTGTAGCTGTGATCTCAATGAAGGACACTCCTTCCCTGCACTGGGATTCTGTCCCTGGTGGATCACTTGATGATCTGGGAAATGAATAATTAGTACTCTCTAAAGATTGAAGAAAAAGGTGTGTATAAGGGCACATGTTCAAGGAAGGCTTGTGTTTTCCCTGATGCCCAGTGACCTTTCTGAGCGAATTTGGATACCTGACACCACCTACTGAGCTGACCACTTGGAAGCCTGTACTCCTCAGGAATAAATAAAAGTTTTTATGAGAATCCATCTTAGAGATTCAGGTATGATGTGTGTGTGTGTGTGTGTGTGTGTGTGTGTGTGTGTAGTCTTTTGTATCACAGTCAAGATTTGCCTTAAACTCTTGATCCTTCTGTGCTCAAGTATTGGGATTATAAGTATCCTCCACCATTCTAGTAGGTTTCTGAAAATTATGTTTATTTAGGCATAATTAATAATCCCACACAATATAGTGTATCCATTTTAGTGTAAAGTTTAAAGAGTTTGATAAATGCACTCATTCATTCATATACTACCACCACAAGCAAGATTGGGATTACAGTCTTCCAGTTAACATCTTCCAGGTGTCTGTTTATAGACAATCTCACTTCTAACTCAGACACTGGCAACCATTCATTCACCAGGCTATTTTTCTGTTTCTTTGTTTTTGGTTTTTTTTTGTTTGTTTGTTTGTTTGTTTTTCTTTTTTTCTTATAGGTAGGTTAGGAAGGGTCTGATCTTTGAACATAGATCTTATAATAAACTCTGTTAGTATTCTGTAACCCTTATCTTACTTATAATTGTAGTGTGTGTGTGTGTGTGTGTGTGTTGAACTGATTGAATAGTCTTTCAGAGCTGGGGAGATGGCTCAGTTGGTGAAGCACTTGCCATGCAAACATGAGGACCTGTGTTTAATCTCTAGGATCCACCTATAAAAGCTGAGCAGGGCGAAGTCTCAGTACTGGGGAGGCAGACACAAGGGAATTCTTGGGGAATCACTGATCAGCCAGTCTAGCCTCCCAGGGAGCTCCAAGTCAGTGAAAGCTAAAAAAAAAAAAAAAAAATTAAGGTAGACATCATTTGGGGAAGAACACTGGAGGTTGGCCTCTGGCTTCCATGTGCACATACACAGTCACCTTCACACACACACACACACACACACACACCTGCATATACACAGACACAAAAAATATTGTTGTATGTCTACTTCTCTTGGAGTTATGTAAACACGAGCTAGGGAAGAAGTTATCTGGCCATTTGTTACTTTATTTTTAACAATGTTACCAAGTAAATGCCCACAAATATCGTCAAATGATCAATGAATAAATGAGATTCACATTCAATAGAAAAATTCTCTAAGTCATTACTCACTCATAAAAAAGTAGTATCCATCAATCCCTAGTATATAAACTGACTCTTTGGAGCCTATTTTCTAAAGAGAGATACCATGCTCAGCATAGACACAGGGGGTGGAGCCTTGGTCAGGCCTCATCTTGGTGATGAGACACACTTTGTTGACACCACATGGGAGAACTGGATGGGGGCTGGGGTGAGGGCAAGGTGGGGAGAACAGGGTGAAGGGAAGGAGGAAGAGCTGGCATTGATATATAGAATTTAAAAATAAAATAAAATAAATACACCCCCCAAAACTGAAGTATCCAATTTAATCATGTTATTGAAACAATTTTGAAGAGTGCGATTTGTTTGGAGTTACACTGAGTGAATATCACCAATATGAACCACCCCTACACTCAACACAAATCAAATAGGAACATCTTTTATGTGACACTTGTTTTTGTGATCATTTTGTTCATTCATATATTTAAAATTATTTATTTCATAATTTTACACTCAGTATATTTTGTAGCATGTCTGATACGATGGCAAGACTCAGGAGCAGGATCATGAAGTCCTCGAAGTCCAGCTTATTTTCTGTGTGTTCATCAAGCTCGGAAAGGATGTCTTGATAATTTGGCTTGCTTTCTTCTCTCTGAGAATAAAGAATAAATGAATCTATGCTGTATATAAACTTTGTATATAAAATTTAGAGATGGTAATGAATACTAAATATGTTATTAACAATATAGCATGGCCAGCACCACTACATAATCACTGTGCAAAATCCTTCATGATTTGCCTCTGAGAACCTGTTCAGTGATCATACTGTATATGTACTTCTGCCATACCCCAGCTGTGGTTGGACCATCAGAGAAGTAAATAACTTGTCTTAAAGTAAGCAGCTTTTGCTGTGAAGCCAATATTTGTGATCTTATCAGCCTGATTTAAGAGCCACACTTTTTTCCTTTTTTTTTTTGCTAGAAACAGATATTTTTGTATTTTAGTAATGTGTATTTTTTATTATGTTTTACATTCCAACCCCAGTTCCCCCTCCCTCCTTTTGCTCCCCCATTTATCTCCCACCCAACCTCCCATCTGCTTCTTGGAGAAGGTAAGGCCTTCCCTAGAAAGTCTACTAAGTCTGTCCCATCATCCCATTGAGGCAGGACCAAGACACCTTTCCACCCCCCCCACACACACACCCCTGTGTCTAGGCTGAGCAAGGTATTTTATCATACAGAATGGGCTCCACAAAGTCAGTTAGCATATTGGAGTTAGATCTCGGACCCACTGCCAGTGGCCTCATATATTGTTCCATTCACACCATTGCCACCCACATTAAGGGAGTCTAGTTCAGTCTTATGCAGATTCCCCATTTGTCTGACCTGAGTTAGTGATCTCTCACTAGCTTGGGCAGCTGATTCTGTGGGTTTCCCCATCATGGTCTTGACTCCTTTATTCACATTATTTCAGAGCCACACTTTTAATTAATAAGTTATTCTGCCTTTCTTTAGACACAGAACTTCCTATGTTTTAGGTATATATTCTCTTAACTATAGGAGGTACCTTTTATGAGTTCCCTGGACTGTGCAATTATTCATAAATGCAGAATAAAATGTGCTAGAGGAAAGCACATTGCTTTGTGGAATTGTTCAGCATTTAGTTTGATTGTCAATCATATCTGAGCTCATAGCTGTCATACACAGATTGCAGGAAAACATCTAAACAGCATATAAATGGAGAGCATTTTTAGTTTCAAACGTTTCAAACAGCAGCTGGAGGCTTTCACATTAAGCACACAAAAGTCATTTGAGGCACTCTGATACAGAGCTGTGTGTGCATCCAGTTTAACCACAAATGCTTAGCCCTGCAGTGGCTGCAAAAATCCCAGGAATGCTTGAGATGTTTTTGTAATGGTGATATATTTCTTTTACAGTCTAAATCACCTTTGTTTTTCTATTGTGACTCTCCCCAGGGGTCACATCTTCAGTCAGAGCCAAGGGAGTTGTTGACCCATTTGTTCAAAGAAAGCAGAGTAGTACTACTTGGAAAGGGTCAGAGTTCAATAGCAGGACTTTCCTGTGGGACTTCCCAGTTTTCCCAAAGGTCATGGAACATATAGATCTGTTCTCTCCCTCTGTTCTGCTTGGTGAAGGGCCAGGGAGCTGGCTAAGCACTTGTCATTCAAAGGTTTGGCCAATCATCTTTTAGCATCTTCTTGGCAGGGCTCCTTGGTACTAGTTTTTTTGTATCTTACTGGTGATTAAGTGTAAAGACTGACCATTGTGTTTAGGCTTATGAGAAATGTGACATTCTCTTTAGGACCTAGGCTTAGCAAAATGGTGTCACACAATTTACCAGAGAGCTCCATAAAGGTTTTAGAGCAGCAGTTCTCAACCTGTGGGTCATGACCTCTTTTGGGATTGAGTGACCATCAAGGTTTCCTAAGACCATCAGGAAACACAGCTATTTACATTACAATTAATAATAGCAAAATTACAGTTAAGTAGCAATGGAAATTTTATAGCAGAGTGGTAGTGGTTACCAGAACATGAGGAACTATATTAAAGGGTCACAACATCAGGATGGTTAAGAAGTCAGAGTACAACCTCAGGTATTCATCATCATCTTCCACATAGTCTGAATCAGGGTCTCTTGTACACCAGGCTCTCTGGCCAGAGAGCTTCCTGGGCAGTCTCCACTGCCCAGCTCACTCTAGGAGTGCTGGGATTACATAGGTGTGCTATTGTTCCTGGCTTTATATGGCTCTGGGGATTCAAACTTAGGGCTTCATGCTTGAATAGCAAGTACTTCACTTACTGAGCCATCTCTCAAGATCCCTCCAGTCTTTTGTTGTGTGTATTATACCATGCAGGCACACTTTTACACACATGAACTTATGTACACACACACACACACAGGATACTTTGATAGTATGTTATATAATTTAGTATATAAAAATCAATATATATGTACATATATATATATATATATATAAAATTTCTGTAACATATATATGATGCAATATATATATATGTATATGTGTATATTACAGAAATGCAATAGTTATTTTTGTCTCATATCATTCCAGAAACTTATAGACAACATATTTTTTTTGTTCTATCTGTGAGTAAATATTGGTGGCTTAGGCTTGGGTATACCCTTCTTTGTTTCTTATAAGATTTCCATAGGCTCAAAGTATAAGCACATGGGTAAGAGTCATCAGGCTAGCCAACTGTAGAAGGCATCAGAAAAAATTAAATAAAATAATAGGTAGGTCTTGCTCATGTTTCAAATATTATTTGCATTTTAGTGTTAAGAATCCCTTATTTGGTTTCTAACTCCAAAATGATCTCAGTGTCTTACTGTCCCACGACATCCTCTACTTGGCTGAATTGCAGCTATGGGCCACAGTGACCACAATTTAGCTTGTTCATAAGATTCAGTGGACAGCTTATATACAGGAGATACTCAATAAATGTTTGCTGATTGAAATAATATGATAGCATCCTGGGGCTGGAGTTCTTTGCTATTTGGTGTGAGCCTTGTTTATTAATGCCGGTTAATTTTCTTACCTCTGTGAAATTCCTAAATTGGGTTTGTAGCAGATTCTTGGCAGTGGCTTTCCCAAGTTTACCATCAGGGTCAGAAGAGTTTCTGAAAATTAGAGCAACAGTAGCAATGGCCTTTTCCAGGTCTGAGCCTTTCTTCAAAGCTGTGAGAGAAGAAATGTAGAAGTGGAGAATCAGAAGAATGATGTTTTATGAGATACAGGGATGTCTCCCAAGGGAACTGTGGGGAGTAAGCATGGGATATGCATCAGTAAGACCCAGTGCTTAGGCACATTGCCCTTTTTCTTAAAGTGGGATTTGGGGTTATCCAAGCCTGCATCTTTAAGCAATAGAGAATGAAAGTTTCATTCATAGCATTTGAGTTAGAGTTAGGTGGAGATTTGACACCTGCTTGCCACATGGCCCCAGGAAAATCTCTTACTTCTCTAAGCCTTGTTTTTCTGAGGTGTAATCTTACTCAGTTATTCAATAAATATTTACTGAGCATTTATTGTGCATTGATCTTAGGTTTTTGTATTAAAGATACTTCATGTAAAGACTTCAAGTTCTACTCTTGTGCAGTTTCTATTTTGTGTTAGCTACAGTACCACTTTTATGGGAGTGTGTTAAAGGGGAATGGTATCAGGGTAATCTCTGACATAGTAATAACAGCCACAACATGGCTTTCCCTCAAACCTTGTGATGCTCCAGTTACTTCCTCTGATTTAGGAACCTTGGTGGAGAGGGCAGTGCTAATCCCTTCGTTCCCACAGGACAGCACCAGGTGCACACAGAGAGATGCAAAAGGAACCATTTTAACAGCTTTATGTGCTAAGTTCCCTTAGTCAGCAATACATCTGCAAGGATAAGATAATCACACCTTACAGCTATGACATGTTTACCTTTCTCTCCAACTAGACAACACTCTTCATGAAGCCAAGAGTCTCCCCATATTCACAATGCCAGCAACAATGTCTGCTGCACAGTAGGGCTAGTTAGTGCTGCTGAGTGAATGAGCAAGACGAAAAGGAAGAAATCTCACAGCTTTCAGCCCAGGCAATATGCAACTATCATGGATTTTAAGAATGCCCAGATAGAGCAAGACTCAGAACCCTGAGGTTAGAAGATTAGATGTGATCTCTGCTCATATGCAGTTCATGATTTAGTAGAGAAATTAATATCAATCAAGAGAATACATATGTATATGCATATATACATACACACATATATATATATATATATATATATATATATATATTTGGCTTTTTATATATTTAACAATGTGTGAAAAAAAGTTTAGTTTTTTGTTTTTGTCACATTTGAATTTGCCATTATTTTTATTGTAGCTGCTTTTGGTAGGTGTCAGTAATATTCCAGTTTACCTTTTATTTGTATTTCCATTCCTAATGATGCTTACAACTGTGTGTAGCCCCAGTGTCAGGGACTCTAACACCCTCTTCTGGGCTCCACAGGCATCAGACATACACATGGTATGCAGACATGTGCAGGAAAAAGCCCATTCACATAAAACTAAAAAAAGATAAAAACAAACAAACAAAAAAACAGCAGCAACAAAAAGAAAGAAAGGGGAAAAAACAAACCATAAGGCAGAGAAACAAAACAAAATAAAGCAAAAAAAAAAAAAAAAAAAAAAAAGACCTTAATGTAAGACCCAAACTTAGAAAAACAGGCAAAACTCCAAGATCCAAGATCCAGTCATAGACATAGATGAGAACTTAGTTTTGTTAGTATTGGGATTAAAAGTGTGGACCACTATTCCCAGTTTAGAACTTCCTGAAATTGAGTACAATAGCACAGCAAATAATCCTAAAAACTGGCAAATGGGACTATACCACATGAAAAAGCTAATGTACCAGCCTGAAGATTTGAGGAAAGCTTGTATCTGACAAATATTGATGTCTAGAACCTACAAGACCTTTAAAATTCAATTTAAAAAGTCAGCCAATGAATAAATGGACTAATGAATTTAACAGGCAGGCAAAGCTCAAAGAAAAAGTACAAATGATCAAGAAATACTGATAAAAAGTTTAATATCATAAAAAACAAAAATAAAAAATGAGTTGAGCATGTATGTGTGTGTGCATGTGATTGAGGATGAAAATATGTAAAAATATGTGAGAATGAGTGTGCCAGTAAGAGTGTTGTGTGCATGTGTTCATTTTTCAGACCTCCGCTCTGTTTCCTTAGTCTGTGTTCTGTATCTTTGCTGACACTATATAGTCATGGTTTCCATAACCATAAACAGTCTCACCAATGAGGAGGGTGGCTCTTGGTGGTTCATCCTTTGTTGATATTGTTTTGGTTATTCTTACTATTTGTTCATTCTGGGGCCTTTCTTCCCAAATAAACTTCAGAGTAATCTTGTCTGTCTTCAGAAACCTTGCTGGGGCTTTAATACAGATTTCACTAAAGACCAGTGGGTGGCAAATAAGTGTCTTTACTTTTTGACAACCATTTCCAGTCTGAGTTGACTTTCCGAATCCATGACCACGAGGCTTCTTCCTGACTTTATTACATCATCAGTGAAGAACAGATAGGTTTTTGTTGGTGGCAGGCTAATTGTAAATAGGGGAGCTGGGACTGGAAATGCCAAGCACATGAACTGATGCACTCAGGGAATGGTTGGCTTATTTTGCTTCCTGATGAATCTGTAACACTGTGGATGGCAGGAAACGTGCAAAAATTTGTTGAGTGAATGACTGTAAAATTTATTTTAAGTTCTTTCTCCTTGGTATCCTTTTTGGTTTTAGATTCTCAATTGTATGCTCTTATGAGTTGTGCTTTCTGCTTGTAGCTTCTGCTTATCAGATCTCCCATGCTATCTTCCTCGGGATGCCAGACTCAGGAAAATACCCCTCTCTTCTTAGCTCTTTCTTACCCCACTTCAAACCATCTCTTCCCCCCCCAAGCCCTGACATTCCCAGGAACCCATGTTTCTATATCTTCAAGGGTCTAACATGTTATTACTCATCCAATACTGGGGGATGGGCATATTTCTTATTACTCCTGATCCATCTGTTCATATGTATGTATATACATGTGCATATATGCAATGGTGCTTTCTCTCAGCTTGCTCCAGTTTTAATAATTTTAACCTTATATTTAAGATGCTCAATAATGAATTCTATATAAACATATTGTTTTGAAAAAGCAGTTGTCTTCATGAAACACATTGATTCTGTAGAAAAATACATGAATTATTTGGACTGATAGATGTATTCATTAGTAATCAAGAATAGCTGGATATGGTATAGGAAGAGCTTCTCTTTTGGGTGTGAGACTGTTTTTGGAGGACTGGAGTCAGTGGACTCTGCTGGATGTGCCTGCCTGGTGAGGAAGGAGGAACAGGCCCTTTGAGTTTGTTAATAATGACAGGCACCTTCCTTTGTTACTACACATTTCAGGTGCCTTTCAAACGTAATCTTATTTAATGCCTCCTCAAACCCACAGGGGTACGTAATATTTGTATCTTAGCTGTACACATTGGAAACCCATACTTAGAGAGATTAAGAATAGTAAAGCCACACTGCTAAGAGATGAGGAATGAAAGGCTTAGGAGTTTGCCTGAAAACTAACAGAAATATCAGCAACTTTGGAATAAGGTCATCCATGCTGGCTGTGGAAGCTAGGCATTTCCCAGCTCTGATGGGGTTCAAGTCTGTCTGTTCTCTGAACTGGGACTCCATCTGGACTATTCAACTTCACATCCTTATCCTACAGCATCTTTCTCCCAAATGTAAAATAGCATATGCTCATGGCAAAAACATGACTAGAAATATTTAAAATAAGAGATAGCAAAGAGTTGTTTGTCCTACCAATACTCATGATATTTTTCTAAGTCTTTATAGTTTGCTTCTTTCTTTAATAAACCAGCAGGTTGCTGCCCAGCTTTTTCACCGTCTGCTTCATATAGACTTGTGAATTAGTATGTGAAGCATATTGTAAGGGGGCATTGGGGCTAGAAGAGTGAAGGTTGCTGTCTGGGTGTCTTTTATTGGCTCTCCTGTCTGTTATTTGGGCATGGGATGTCTGAAAGGCAGCACTTCCAGAATGCTTCATGTTACTGTCCTCTCTTCTGTAGCCCATTGGAATTAATGTACATTTTATTCTTACTCTACGCATCTCACAAGTATGTAACACAAAGAATTTGTCCTGGGCATGGAATAGTGAGTGACTTCAGGACACCATCGACTTCTTGGAGGTCACGGCAGTGAACACTCCTCCCTGGGGAGTGGATGTGATGCAACTCATTTAGTGCTTGTGTTAATCCTTTGAGGTAGGTCTAGTTTATAGATGAGGAAACTGAGTCATGGAGAGATAAAGTAACTTACCCAAAGTCAGAAAATCAAACTGGCTATTTTCTAGAATGCTGACTGCCTCTAAGTGCTGTGTATTCTTCCAGATCCTTTCCCACCCCCCAGAAGGGACAACATGTCCCTCTGTTGTATTTCTTGTATTTCCTGAATATAACAACTCTATAATCTTCACACTTGAAACTCAGTATTATCTCAGTTGTCTCTTAGATCACTGTTACAAATCATAATTTAAAACTTTCTCAGATGCAAATTAAAAAGATTAAAAAGAAGAGTAAAATTGATTTTAATAATATATATTACTCAACTCAGTATATTAAAAATTTCAACAGGTGGTTAATACTAAGTTCATAAGAGATTTTATAACCTCTATTTATTAGTTTCTTTTAGTTTTAAAATTTCTATTCAAATTAATCACTGCTCTAGTACTAAGTAGTTCTCTATGGCTGGTAGATAGTATGTGGGATAGTGCAGGTCCAGGCTGCATGTTTACTGAGATCAGTGATAACAATGTAATTATTTTTACATTCTTTTTGATATGTTGCAGGTCTTAGATTGCATGCAATATCTGTGTTAAACTGAACTGACAACTTCAGAGCCATTTTCCACATGTGTTCCTGCTTTTCCCTAGAACACAGAACACTAAATATTAAGCATTAGTGATTTCCTGACAAGTAGAAAAAGTACTCTAAACACCATGAGTGTGAAAATCATCTGATTTTAGAATTTTTTTTTCATATAAGTTACTCTTGCAAGTGAAAACATGTAGAACACACATCATCTGCCCAAGCCCATACTGATAATGTAAGCAGTACTGACAGTTACTAAGATCCTATTCCACATTTGCCAGGACAACAATTCCCCTAATACTCTACTATCTTGGTATTAAATACACATATGTGATTATCCTACATTGCTGCCCCCTAAACGCTCAAAGTGTATAAGATCAAATTACATAGAGACAGAGTTTCGTGAGCATTTCATGGTCTATCCAGAAGTTTCTCACATCTCAGGAATTCTTAATCCTATTAATTTTAACTCTTGGCCTGCTGTTAGGGAGCAGGAGACACACACATTTCAATAATTCTGTGCCTTACCTTTTATTGAAGCCAGTTGTTTAGATATTGAAACACTGTAAACAAAATAAAAGAAACTGAGTTTTTCAGAGCTTGGACACTGATCTCTGCATTAAGCGATGCATGATTTAAAAGATTGTTTTCAGTAGATATCCTCTTGCTCACTCCATTGGGCCATTGTGGTGGTTTGAATGTAATTAGTCCCCATGAGCTCATAGGGAATGGCACTATTAGGAGGTATGGCATTGTTGAAGTAGCTGTGGCCTTGTTGGAGGAAGTGTGTCACTGTGGGGGCAGGCATTTAGATCTCCTGTGCTCAAGCTATGCCTAATTCAGTTTACTTCCTGTTGTCTGTGGGATCAAGATGTAGGACTCTCAGCTCCCTCTCTAGTACCATGTCTGCCTGCATACCACCATGTCACACCATGATGATAATGAACTAAATCTCTGTACTGTAAGCTACCCCAAATAAATTATTTTCCTTTATAATAGTTGCTGTGGTTATGGTGTATCTTCATAGCTATAGAAACCCTAACTAAGAAAGAAGTTGGTAGCAGTTGTTGTGATAGGCCTTACCATGCTTTTGTTTGAAGGAATATAAACCTTCAAACTGGGGATTAGAAAAGCAGATGAATGCTTTAAGTGTTGTTTAATGGGCCATACTAGTAGGAACATGGAAGAGAGTGGTGCAGAGTGTGATTTGATGAACTGTGGGGGCCTGGCTCAGGAGCTTTCAGAGGAGAAGAATATGAATATGTAGCCTAAACATTGTTTTTGTCATATTTTGTTAAAGAATGTGATTTTTCTGCTTGTCTGAACAGTTTTATTGAGGGTAAAGTAAATAGATTTGGTTTAATTCCATTGGCGGAGGAAATCTTAAAATAACCTAGTATGTTCTGTTGTACAGTTACTAGTGTTAACTCTAATGAAGATTTATAACAAAAAGGAGTGAGTTGAGAAAGTAAAAATACAAAATACACAAACTGAGGAGGAAAAAGAGTACCAGGAATTGGAATGGAACTAAATTCTGTGTTCAAGGAGATAAACAGATTAAGAAATGGAATACAGGGAACATTGACTTTAGAACAAGATCCCAGCCAGATAGGTTTTCAACCTGTGAAAAAGAATTAAAGAAATATGTAGAGCCAGATATGGTGGTACATGCCTTTAATCCCAGCACTTGGAAGGCAGAGGCTGGTGGACCTCTAAGTTTGAGGCCAGCCTGGTCTACAGAGCAAATTACTAAACAGCCCAGCTCAGGAAGTGAAGGAAATCACTGAAAACAGAAAACTGGTGGAGATGTAACTGAACAAAGGGCAGGGGGTATGTTCTATCCCCATCAAGCAGCAGGACTTGACAGCTTTGGCCATGGGGTTCTGGCTTTAAAGTCAAGGACAGAAGAAAGAGAGAGTGGAATCTCCCTCTGTGACTAAGGAAAGCTGCTGAGGCTAGGCATGTGTAAGAGGTATCCCTGCATTGAGAGGGCATTGCATGAAGTTGTGAAGGAGAAGCCAGGATTGCCTTGGATACCTCAAGATGTTGGAGATGCCAGTGCTTTAGGATACCTGCCAAGGAGAGCTGCTAAGAGGGAGTGCAACCAGACCAAGAAAAAGAAGTGTGCTACAGTCAACAAAGCTG